GGGGCTGTGGCTCTGCACCGTCTTCCTCATCCGAAGTCCATCTTCTTCCTATGGAAGCAAATGGATATGTCAGCAATCAGGCATAAGATGACATGGTTCCACTGCACTCCGCAAATAAGCAACTGAGTCCTGAGAGAGGAAGGAGCCGTGGGAGGCTACTGAGAAGATAACCTGAGGCCCCTCTTTTCTTTCAGCTGTCCTACTCAGTACTGCTAGCTACCACTTCAGAATACTTATGAATGGTCCTCCTGGGTTCCCCACCACTTATGGGAAAAAACTGTTTAGAGGTTCAACCAGATTCTTTGCAATCTCAGCCATATCTACTTTTCTGGCCTGCACCTCTCTTCCTGTATCCAACCCCAATCTTCTGTCCTCCTGACTCAAATGAACAGGCTAAGCCAATCAAACCATCACTAAGTTTTAAAATCATAGGTATTTCCTAAAACACACAAGAGCAAATCACAAGAAACTACAAAATGGGCGACCTAAAGCTTCCAAATGCAGAGCTTTATATGTAATTGGTACTTGAGAAATTACATGCAGACTGCTGGATCAAATGACACTGACCTTCATGTACTCATTTCAAATATTTTCCACTTCATGCATGCATCTCATTACAGGAGTACCACTTCTTTTTCTTTTACATAAACATACCTAAACACATCTTGCCCCGCAACCACACAGATGGCTAAGAGGCAGAAACTTCTTTCTTCCTTTGCTTCCACTCTGTTGCCCAGTTGCCTTGTACCTGAATACCTTGTAAATTACTCTGAAGACTTTTAAGGTCACTTCCCAACTCTGGACTACGCCCACATCCCCAAACAGGGCCAGTATGAAGGTCTTTCTGACCTTCCCAGACTCCCCTCTGCAGCCAGACCGCTTGCTAACTACTCCATCTGCTCAATCCTGAATCTCACATACCAGGGGCGCTTACTGTTCTTTCCTTTGTTTCTTGCAGATTTATGGAATACTCACGTACTATGGAAGTTCAGAGGTGATAAGCCAAAGGGTGGACCTTCCCCGTCACCTGCCCTCCCTGTAGGATCATTTTCATTTGGACTTTAATCATTTCTGTCTCTCTCCCTGTAGCCCTGTCCATGGGGCTGGACATGGCTGAGAATGCAAAGAACCTGGCTGAACCCCTGAACAGCTTTTTCCCATAAATGGTGTGGAACCCAGGAGGACCCTTCTTAGACTAATATTCTGAAGTGGGAGCTAGCAGTACTGAGCAGGACAGGAGAAGAAAAGGGTGGCTTCGGGTTATCTGCTCAGTAGCCTCCAACAACTCCTTCCTCTCTCAGGATTCAGTTGCTTATTTGCAGAGCACAGTGGGACCATGTCCTAAGTCCTCACTCTATATTTGGCTGTGACTGGTACAGTCTGAGGGCTAGTTTAAACTTGAGAACCACAGTTTCTACACCACCACAGGTCTCCAAGCTCTCTAAGTATCACCTGCTGCCCTCACCCACTGCCATCTGACCCACTGTGCCAGCTCCTCCTCCCATACTAGAGACCCCAGCTTCTCCTTCGTCCATTATACTTCCCTTTACCAGGCCAGCTCAGTCTTTCCAGTCCCATGACTGTGAGCAGCTGCAAGATCACTGCTGCTCAGGCCTACTAAAGCTTCAATATTCAGAATTACACCAATGTAAGAACAGAGCACTATCCATCCATGTAAAGAAGACAGAGTGGGGTTTGAAAATGAATGTTCAAAATAACCACTGCTACTTTTTCAAAGTACACTAATGGAGGTGCAAGTGCTGCAGTTTTTTGGGTTTTTTCCCCCTTGTTTTTAAAAGGACAAAAGTTATAGAATTTGTGAAATTTTTTTGCCCAAGCAACAATGGTTCATAATTTGGGGGGATTCAAGAACACTTTTGAGATGAAAAAGGTTCTGATGAAAGCAATTTCTCCCCAGGAAAGGAAAATGGTCATTTTTTTGTACATGGGAAAATAAACGACTGTTACCTTGAACTGTTTGTTCTCCTCCCGAAGTCTCTGGACTTCGGCTTGCAGCCTCTTACATTCTTCCATCACCTTCTTAACTTCGGTATCATCCAGGGAGGAAGTCAGAGATTTAGACACTGATGGTGTTTCTGTCTTTGACGCAGTTGTAGATATAATTTTATTTATTTCTACATCATGCTGTTCAGAAGTAAATGAAAGCCCAAATATCATCAACTATGTAAAAAAAGAATCTTTACTGCAAAGTATTTCTCAGTAAACACCATACATAGTAACATTTCAACCATATGGTAAAATGTCACATTTATTTTAAAAGTGGGTCTCTTTATCTACTAATCCAAATAAAGTAGCTGGGCCCTAGAAGTCATGAATAAGGGCAAATAATGAAGTTGGCCTGAGACTAATACTTCAAAGAAAAAGGGTGACGCATATTACACTATCAAATTCCTGCCATGTAAAAATTAGCATACTGTAACTATGCAAGCTCAGGCGAATTATCAGCCACAAATTATTGTCACCACGAAGATCTGGCTGGGAGGGTGTGGGAGGCTAGGGAGAGCACTAATAGGGTGATTTATCTCACCAACTTAGAACTAGAGAGCAGGGATGAAAGTGAAGCAAGATCTCCGCACTGCTGTGTTTCAGATTGGGAGGCCACACACACTTCCCAGTCCCCAGCAGAGGCTATGCTGTGACACAGAACATGGCAATGCTCAGGTGTTGGGGAAAAAATATGTGACGTTTGCTGTGTGAGGAAGCTGGGGAACAAATGAAAAATTTGACATCGTGGCTCTTTTACTTCCCAGAGAGAAGCCCCAGAAGAAAAGGCCTAAAGCTATCAAGTCCACCTATCACAGAGCTGAGACTGACATTCAGTTCTTTCACTTTCAACTGACTTTCCCTTGGTAAAATACACAATGGGAGGACCGGGAGACACTACTGCCCATTCAAAGAAATAAGGTAACAACAGTAGTCAATTAGAAGAAGAAAACACTACAGTTCTGACACAAATCCACGGCATTACTGGAGATCATCATGACAGAGTTACTAGAATGCCTGAGAGCATTTCCACTGCCCACCTCCATCTACTTATGGCCCGGACAGTTTCAGATTCTTCATGGACTTTTAAATTCCTTGAATTTTAAATATAATTTTAATCTTTCTGACTAAATTGAAGAGGTCCATGAGCTTTTCAAATATAGTTCATCTCTGCAATTGGTCAAAAAAAGGCAAAGGTCAGCTCACCCCTGGTTTCACACAGAAAGAGAACTGACTGCTAGGAGAAAGGTACTCCTTGCCCAGCAGCACACATGCAGTCAGTCCACAGGCATTTCAGGTTGTTACACTGGGGGTGCTACTGGTGCTACAGGGGGCAAGTATACTGCTCTGCACCCTGCAGTGCACGGGTGGCCCACAGCACAAACAGGGAGTCAGCCCAAACTGTTTGCTAGGGTTGAGGTTTACAAATCCTCATCTAGAACTAAGCGTGGTGGCACACTCCTGTAATGCCACACAAGGGAGGCTAAGTCTGAGCTGTGTGAGACCGCAACTAAAAGTTGTTGCTGACTGAAGAGGTAGGTGAGGAAGAGGGAGAAGGGAGAAGGGAGAGGTGGTGCTGAGGGAAAGAGCAGACAGGACATGGACCCAAGAGCTTACCACCTGTCCAGTACACAAAGGCAAATGAGTCCCCAGTTAGGTCTTGCCCAGCCTAACCTATAACTCCGTCAAGCCAAAGCAACACTTTGCTATTGCTAACATCAAAGCAGCCAACAGGCTGTACTTTTCAACAGGAGAACTTTCAATTAGTCATCTTTCTACAACACTTCCAAAGGCTGATTTCATAAAGGCCCACTTACTTGTTGACTTCAGCTAATTTTTTTCTTCACACATTAGAGGAAGGAAAATAATTTGCCAACTTACATCTTGGTTTTGCAGGAGATGGTATGCAAATAAGCATCAGCTTGCAACATTCAATTACTGTTAACGATAAACATACTTACTGGTTTATCATTTTCTGCTGGCAATTCAAACACACATCTAAGTTTTGAATCCATAAGGTCTTCCGGTTTTGCCTCCTTCCACTAAAACAATTTAAATTTAATAATCAGGATATTATAAAGCTGCTGGAAGAATAATTTTCCAACTATAACTGACAATTTCAGAAAAATACTCTTAATGAGAAGGCCCTGATGTATATCAAATAAAGAACTTAAGTCTGCTGAGATTTCAATATTTTTAACATGATATGATTAAATATAAGAGCTTTCCTGAATATTTATCACACTCCACATTACCCAAAGCCCTGCTGCCTGACTTCTCCCAGTCTCCCCATTTTCCTCGCATCATTGGTCTGTGGGAAGCACACAAACAGTGAGGGCCACGGGAGCAGGTGGGACCTTTCACATCATGCCCAGATACCAGAGGTAACTGGCTCTCCTTCAGAAAATGGAATTTCCTCTGAGGGCACATCCTTCTGAGAAAGTCTTAAGAAGGCACCACCTGGGAGTGGTTTTAGAACTGTCTTGCCAACTACCAAAGGAGCATATATATCAACTAGCCAGCCATTCCCTACCACTCTGCCTGTCCTGGCTGACCTATGCCTGAAGAGCCCACACCCACTCCTTCCAGCCTCTCCTTTCAGCAGTGCAGGAGAGGACTTCAGGATATTCTGAGAACTACTGGCCAGCACAACAGGTTACAATACAGACAAAGGAGTCCACCCCCTCCACAACCTCCCTAAAACCATGCAAGAGGAGGGAGCCAGAGCAACAATATACCAAAACCAAGAATCAAACTATGTGTCTGACATTGAGGACCGCCACACAAATTAAGGCAGAGCCATTCAATGGAATAGCATGCTGCCACTCAAATGACAATGAAGCACATTCAATTACACAGAGAAGGGCTGCAGATTATTAAGGAAACTACAAACTACACTGAAATTCATTCCTCTGTGCATATGCTCCAGTGGATACGACGTGCACATTGTGTATATCAAAAAGGATCAGCCAAGGGTCATCACTAGATGCTGATGCCACCCCATGACAGACTGCGAGTGAACAGAGTATTTACATGGTCTCAAGGTATCAGATCAGTCACAATTATTTATTATTTCTTACATTTTGTCACTGAACAATCTGTTAGAGACCACCAAGATAAGTGATCAAATGACATCACTACCAAAGGGACAACCTTGAGCATGAAATACCTTCTGATATGATACAGCCATGTCAACTAGAGTATATTCTAGCTAAAAACATTTAATTTGGATTTAATCATGAGGAAGCAATCAAACAAAACCAGAGCATTAGATTTTCTACAAGTAAACTAGCTTATACTCCAAAAACTTCAAAGTTGTGAAAAACAAAAAGGGAAGGGGCCCTCTACTAGAATAAGAACAACTAAAGGCCATTTTTTGAGAAACTGCAAAGTATCCACCATGGATTTTTCTATTAGATAATAATACTGAATTAAAGCTCATTGTCTTGATTATGCTAACAGCAGCATGGCTCTGTAAGAGGCTGTTCTTATTCTGAAGTACTCAGGGTGACATGTGAGTTCTGCAGCTTGCATGTAAATGGCTCTGCAGAAAAGAAAGTGTATGATAGGAAGCAAGTGTGGCAAAATGCTAACAAATGGCAAACCCAGGTTAAGGTGAGTGGTTACTGCACTATGTATGCCAAAGGAAAAAGAAAAAATGTATGTCAAGTACAAGCACAAGGCTCTCATTAATACTGATTAGGTCTAGGATGAAAAAATTATAGGTCACTATTAGTTTTAGCTTTTGTTCAATTGTATACTTCCCAATTTTTCTACAATATATTTTGTACAAAAAGAATTTTTATTATAAAGATAATCACAGTAGAAAGTGAAATGACCCTCAAATGACACTCATAAACAAATAGAGGAGACACTGGGTCAGGAATTTACAAACACCACATTAATCCTCACAGCCATGTGAGCTGAACTTCTATCTTTATTATACAGGCAACCAAAACCTCAAGAGAGTCTTTGAAACCTGCTCAAGGCCACCATGTTGGCAGAAGGCAAAACTCAGCTTCAAAATCAAGATGACCCAGCACTTGCACTTTTCAGTATGTCTTGCACTGTAAGCCAGAAAACATTCTTGTATATTACCTATTTTGTACCTATGCTTATTTGATCATATAAATTAACATCAGGTGACCCATGTTCCAGAAGTTGGGGAAAGGAATGGATGGCTTAGTGTTCTTAGGAAAAGATCAACCAGTTGTCACTGATCTCTCTCAACTTCAAAACACCTGCCTTGCTCTTCATTTTCTGTCCTCACAGTAAACCTCAGTAAGATGGTCAGTTATGCTTTTCTAAGACTAAGAGAAAAAGCTCAGCGGAGACACTAGTGCAGGAAGATGTACTCTACAGGAGACCGCCCTTAAAATAAAATTTGGAAAGATGAAAACAACAGCACAGTGTAACGCTAACCCAAATCTCCAGGCGTCTCTTGTACGATCTGGGTCTCTCTCTGGGCTGGACATGGAGAAGGTGGGAAGAGTCAAACCTGCCTTCTTTTCCTGTACTGGGAGGACCAGGCACCATGCCTCTGATGCTGCCATTGTTTTGCAAGGTTGCAGACCATCATTCACACAGCACCACAATGTTTGTGTTCTTTCAAAAGCTTGCTTTGGGGAGAATTTCCATTATAATCCCTTTCTTTACCAGAAACATCAATAATATTTCCTATTTGATTTCTAAAAATGAAGCCAACCTAATTTTACTAAATTAGAGAATAGTCAGACCTATATTTGTGCAGGGAAGGGATTAGGGTTAAAAAATTAAAAAAGAATTGGTGTGGAGCTGTAGTTCAGTGGTAGAGAGAGCACCGCGCTACCACAGACAAGGACCTCAGCACCACAAATAATACAGCAGAAGAACCACACTTAGCAGAACCAATCTTAGGAGGGATAAAGGAAGTGCAAGCTGCAAAGGGCTCTCATCCTTCTGGGTTTGGGAGAGCAGCTCACAAGGCAAGAAATATTCTTATATTCAACGACAAGCTCTCTTTTTCTGGGAAACAGGAGGGAGGAAGAAAGGGAACAGTCCTCAATCACTCAAGATACAATCCATCAGGGTGAGAAACTGCTAAAGCAAACTGAATTTATACAAATCAGAAAAAAAAAAAAAGTATTCTAGAAAACTTTACAAAATGTTAAAATTATTCATCAAAGTTTATAAAAATCATAGAATATAAACCTGAAAAACCATTCCCCTGTAAACAATTTTGAAATGCATGCACCCACAATTCTGTACCTGTTTTTTGTTACTATTACTGAAAAAAATAACAAGCATTCAGTACTTACTACTGCTTCCATATCAGAAGTGTCAGTTGGAGCAAACATAGACTGAACCATAAACTTGTGTTTACTTTTCTCATTGGGATCATAATCGAAAGGCTGTAACATCACTGAGAAAGAAAATATTTCATTAGGAGGGTCAGAGCTTGGTTATCAGTGCCACTTGTCATGCTAGTCACTAATACTTATGCTGTGAGGTAAAGCACCCCACCCACATGCCTTGTGAAGGAAGCAAGAAGAGATGATAACATTTCCACTTTGAAGGTCACCAACCTAAGGTCCAAAAACATAGGGGGCATTGCCCAAGGTGAGAAAGCAGGTAATGGCAGAGGAGGGAGAAGGGCTGAGGGCTCGGCTTTCCTGGTTCTAGTTCCCTGGTCTCGAGTGCCTGCAACCAAACCATAAACATCTGCTATGCAGAATAGGTAAATCAGATAGAAATACCACATGCCTGTTTTGCTCAAGAACACATAACTTTGATCTTTTCCGGAGCTAAAACAGAGTAACACAAGACATTTAAAGAACTGTTTTGGCTTTCCTGCATCCCATTTCCCACACAGCTAATCAAGGTAATGCTTGAAATACAACTGTGCCAATAGAACAGAATACTAGAGAATGGACTCAAACAGAACATTCACAGAGCAGGAAAAAAAAAAATTATCAACTTATACACTACACTCTTTTCTTCCTAAGATGCTAGAAGACTCTTAAGATCCTGTTGATGAGTTGCTTCCACTGCACTGAGGGGGCTCCTGGAGTAACATTCCCTGTTTTTTGTTTTGAAATAGGGTCTCACTAACTTTGCCCAGGTGGTCTTGAACTTGCAATCTTCTTGTCTCAGCTTCTCTCAATGCCCAGATTACAGGTGTGTGCTGCCACACCTGACTTGTTCTTTAGGTCTATTATTTCCTTGCTTAATTCTTAAAAGTTTGGTACGATTGTGTGCATGGTTGGGTGGATTGGGGTGTGAAGTGTTAATCTGAAGCCTATTTTTCAGATTAATAAGCTAAAGCACAAAGAACTTAAACATATGCCTAAGGTGACCCCACGGAGGAGCACAAGCTCAAACCCAGTCTGTGTGGAAAGCTCATGCTCCCGGTCACCACGAACAACCAAAGGTGTACCACCCTCTGACACTGTCAGGCCTTCCCACCAGCACAGGTTTCTTAACCTTTCCTACCGGATGCCCACCAGTGTTCTGACGTGAAATCCTATTGTAGCGTTTTCCAGGTGCTTCCTCCAAAGCCTCACAACCAACCATCTCTGAAGCAGGTAAAGGGAAACACCAAATCTTTAGCACAGGCTATGCATAAAGAGTCTGGGACTCCACAAAGTAAAGGAGCTTGCTCCAGGTAACAAGGTTAGGAAGCAGTGAAATAGGAAAGGTGTCAAAACCTTGTGACCAAGCAGCCTTTCACTCTAACATGATCTGGACTTATGTTGTGCACCAAGGCTCAATGGCAGAACTTATGGAACCATGCATCCCATGGAAACAGAAATATCCATTTTCTTCCATCCATCTTGGAGGCAGGAATTCTTCCACCTTGGAGACACAGAAAGTCCACAAAAGCCGGACAAGGCGTCTGGCTTGAAATGCCTGGATGTACCTAGTTACCAGGCAGCACCGCTGCCACGATGCACCGGAGTGCTCAGAGCTACAAGAGGCCCCATTAAAAGACTTCTTGAGGACAAAATTCAACAAATGTTTGAAAGCAACCCTTCTACTAACTTAGGGCTAATGCATGACATCAAGTTTATGTAGTGAAACAAGAATGTTTCTTCTAGGTACACAAAATCTGAATAGTATGACCACCAACAGAGGAAACAAAAGGTCACAACAAAACATAAGGGGCCTCTGCTTGGAATCTTATTTTCGCAGGTGTAAAGGCAAAGTTGCTCCAAAAGAAGAGGGCTTGCTAGTGGTGATGGAACCAGAGGGCAATGAACCTTCATCTGGGATCACCAAGCTCAGGAAAGCTTTCCTATAGATGGACCCAGAATATCAACACACACACATGGGCCTGACTTTTAACCTCTGGGACAAAGGACTAGATTGGCCGGTTAAGACTCACTCTTCTCAAAGTGCAATTTCCACCACATTTTTTTTCCCATCCCCAATGGAAATACACACTATACACTAAGCAACCCTAATAGTCCACGTGCACTATAAACTTTCTTAAACAGTGATTATCAACCGTTTTCAGAATTTGAACACAATCTTCACATTACTGCTGGAATAAAATTCACTTTTAAAAGTAAAGGATTTGAGGATTTCAGCTTCGGCAGAAAAACGTGCGATCTTCAGTGTGGGAAAGAGTCCTGACATGGACTGCAACAGTTGGCTCAGGAAGTTGTGTGGCCCCCTTTTTGTTCTTCTCCCCCTTTTAAGGGCAATACGACTAAGAATAGCTAAGTGTACTCTGCCCCAAAATCGCCAGAGTCCCAGGCATGCTCCACAGTGAAAGGCCAACTCTTCCTAGTTATCTCTCCATCATCATCCACTATTCTCAAACCAATACCTTCATCATGCCCCAAGAAGGAAAGGAAGGAAAATAACTTTTCCTAGCACCTGCTAGGTTCGAGCTATTAACGAAGGCACTGGCTCTTTGGTCCTTCCATTCAGTCCTCACAATAATCCATCAAAGAAACTCATGTCTCAAAAAATAAATAAATAAATAAATAAATAAGAAACAAACAAACAAACAAACTCACGTCTCTATTTTCTGAATGAAAAGACAAAACCTGGGAAGCAAAGTGAGCAGCCTAATGGCCACAATACTACGTAACAGAGCCAGGGTTCCAAACGTGGCTCTGACTCCATAATCAGACTCGTGTAACGCAGGTTCTCACTGCTATCTGAAGACTGGAGGTCTGGCCAGGTCAGGTCCAAACCATGTTCAAATTAATACCCAGGTCTTACATGCCTTTACTGCTCTGCTGATACTGACACTGACGGTGCAAACACAACAGTGGTATGTTAGCAAAGATTAAGGCCGTGGGAGCAAATGGTATTTCATGTCACTACTATGTACCACCATACAATTTTCTTTAAAGCAAGTTTCACTCAAGAATATCTTTGCTGGGCTGGTGAGATGGCTCAGTGGTCTAAAGCACCTACTTTGAACAAACAAGCTTAGCAAAGCACAGGGACCACGGTTCAATCCTCCAGCACCACATGCCAGCCAGCCCCGCCCCCTGGTGGGCTGAGCTGGCCACACACACACACACACACACACACACACACACAAATAAATAAAAAATTTAAAAAAAAAAGAAAAAAAAAAGAATATCTTTGCTGAAGAGAAATAATAGTTTTACTAAATGCAGACCTTTACAACACATCTTTTTACTACTCTTTACAATGAAATAACACTTTGTTACCCCCTGAATCTGAATGTTGTGCTGAGAAGCATCAGGCAGCTGTCTCCCATGGAAAACCCTCACTTGAATAAACAACTGACAAACTCTGGTTACTCAGACTCTGGTATGTGGCACACACTCTCTTGAAAATGAAATAAGCTTGTCACTTCAAAGAAAAAAATCTGTGGTGCTTGCCACCAACATTAAAATCCAGGCTTTCTAGCAAAAATTGTAATTGTGCAAAACTTGTATATGTCACCAAGTGCTTCACAGTCTTCCAAGTCCTTAAAGACTCTTCTGGCTGGAAATGCAGGTCAATGTAGAGTGCTTGCCAAGTATACATGAGGTCTCGAGTTTGAACCCCAGCATCACAAAAAAATAAAAATAAATATTTTCCCAATGAGATCAGGAGGAATAGTTCTTTTAAAAAAACTTTTTTTAAAAAAATGTATTTGGCATAGGGTCTCACTACACAGTTTACACTTGTAGTGATCCTCCTGTTTTCAGCCTCCCCAGTGCTGGGATTACAGGAATGTGCCACCACGCCTGGTCTTCGTGGCTGGCTCAGTGTGCCCGTGGATGGGGCTGGCACAGCGTGTGGTGCTGAGGATCCAACTCCAGTCCCTGTGCTTGCCTAAGCAAGCACTTAATCTGCTGAGCTATCTCACTGGCCCAAATGTGGTTTTTTTGAAGTATTATATGAACTATGTCAACATTTGAAAGATCTATACAACCTAACTAATCAATAGTTTACAAATGATCCATGGCAATATTACAAAATCAATTCAAAGTGCAAGTGAGAACAATGTATTTCAGTGAAACAAAATGCAAAAACTTCACATATGTGGCTCAGGATTCCACATTATACCAATAACCTTTAGGAAAGTGCCACTTGTTTCTCTTGGGTCCCCACTTCCAAGATGATAAATGAAGGAATAATCATCACACCCAAAAGGGCTGCAGCCACGTTCACTAGATGTCCAACAATGAGAAAGAAAGCTGCAAACTGTGCCAATGATAAAGATAAAGCCATTAAGAAAGTCACCCTTCTGGACATAGTAAAGGTCCCCAGCGATAAGAACATTTCTGCAGTTATGTGTCTTTGTTCTTATGTGCTTCACAAGCTACCGTGAAGCTATAATGCTACATGAGTTGTGCCCAACCCAGTGGTTGACAATTTAGTCAATAGCCAGTCTCATGAGCCCTGAAGAAACCAATGCTCCTGCCCCAGTTAAGCCCTACTGATACTGCCCCACAGCCTCTAAAACCCATTAAGGAGCTAAGTCCTTCAGGACTGAAGAAAAACTACCCTCTGGGGGAAAAATGTAATGAGATCATACTTTTTTAAAGGGAAGGAGCTTGTACAGCAATTAACCACTAAGAAGAATATATGCAGTGTATTATTTGTTGAAACTGTACTTCCGATTTCATTTGAAACTGTCTCATTGCTGTTTATCAATAAAACTTTGAAAAAAAAATAAATAAAGGGAAGGAGCTGGGGATGTAGCTCTATGGTACAGCATGGTCTAGATGTGCAAGGGCCTGGACTTCATACCCCGTACTACAAAAAATAACATTAAATGTGAAAGTACTGCTTGTCAAGATCTGCCATCATGTCAAAGCAGAATGTCTGGAATTATCTGAGGTTATTAAGCAGACTTTCTCTTTTCCAATTATCTATCTGTAGTAACACATTTATCAAAACAACACATCAGTTACCAGAATGAATATAAAAGTAGATATGAAAACC